ACATACAATGGGATCAAGCAAAAGTACTAGCTTCGTCGTGTATATCTTTGCTTTGTCTTTCCGTTCTTTTTTGTTAGTATATCCATGCGGGAGCGTGTCCTCCGTCCTTCACTACCAGTACCAGCACGCGCATGCCCGTCTTCGTGCAATATCAATCTATGAAGAAACACTCAAAATTCTCCAGGCTTTCTTCAACGGAGAAGCAATATAATGATTTGCGACTTGAGGCGAGCAAACTGAATCAAGAAAAGCAAACGCTGGAGCAGGAGACGCAATCAGTGATACAGCAGACGAAACAGTACTTACTTTTTAGATAGTTTAAGTTTAGTACTCCCTTGTTAGTCTTATTTTTTTACATTTGCTTTTGCAGGTGAACAACAACAACGTAAAGACACTCATTCTCATATCTATTGTTTGTTACTAGTGGACGACGAGGAGCAGGAACGAATACGAATCAGAAAACGGCTCTTTTTAGTTATTTGACCTCTAATCTACATTCGGACTTCTTCTCGACCACTCATCTAAGTACAACACTGCCTCCTCCCGTGCCTACCTCTTACCTGTCGTTACATCTTATCAATATCTGATATTTTGTGAGGGCGAAATCCGATATCGAGAAGTATCAAAGTGATATCAAGTCAGCAGACCAGCGGTACACGGAAGCACAAGGAAGTGTGAGCCGGAACAGTGAAAAGCTCGCGAAAATCAGCGCAACTCAAAAAGAAGTCGAAGAGAGCTTGAAAAGAATCTTAAGGCCACTTGATGCTAGACTACAATTTCAATTTATACTTAGAATTGTACCTACTGGACTACAATTTAAGATACAGGACGAGAGGGACTAGTTTGGAGTTGGTAGCAGTACAACGAACGATATCCAAGCCCAACATCAACGTCTTCTATTCTAGTAATAGTTGGTTCTGATAGAACTTCAGCTTCTTCTGGCAAGATGGAACTCTTAGCGAGTGCGAGCTTGTTCTGGCAAGAACTCTTGCGAATGCAAGGATTTGAAATGGAATAGCTCTAAGAACCGACGAAGACCAACAACAAGCCGATGAGGCATTCGAAGAAAGCAGAGCTAAGATGGAAAAGACGCACCAGGACTGCGAAATGCTCAGAAATGTCATGTACTACTGCTCTTGTGATTTTGACCGTGATTGTAGAGGTAGAGCACCTGAAGAAACACAATGAATTCTCGCTAACGTCAATCCTCCAGCAATCTCTACATCATGACTCCCTAAAAAACGAAAACCAGTGTGAAGATTACCGAATGGAAGACGAAGATCGGTGAGATACGAGCTCAAAAGGAGGAATTGCAGGCAGACGCTGTGAAATTAGCGGATCACGGTGTAACGCCAGCTGAGATGTTGCAATCAGTGGCATCGATTTATGATGAATTCTTTAACCGTTACATGACTCGTACAGTTTTATCTATCAGCATTTTCTTTTGTTCTGTTAAAACAAACAGAAAAGTTTGCTTCGTCTTTTTTCTGACGACCTGGTGATGAACCTTGCTCATTATGTACTTAAGCTTTTCCCTTCGAGGACTAGGACTACAAGGTAGAACAAAAATGTGATTCTGCTTATGTCTTTCCTATATGTCGTCGAGAACATCACCTACTCCTACACGCACTAGGTATTATTTCATCCTATAATTGATTTCGTTAGTTTCACCGCTGGTACTATCCTAATTAAGTGTTGCAATCAGTGGCATCGATTTATGATGAATGGTTTAGCCGTTACATGACTCGTACAGTTTTATCTAATATATTTGATTTGGTTAGTTTCCCAGTAGTTGGTACTATCCCAATTCCCCTCTACAAAAGGGTCGGACGTCCAGTTCTTGTAGAAATTCCCCTCTAACAGAAGCAGCAAAGAGTCTACTCCGCAGAATGCCAAAAGCAGGCAGAACGCGTTCTCCTCAGCTACCATGAGGAAATGCAACAGGTTGTTGGATCGTGATGAGAAGATGCGGACGTTAAAAGTCCTGATGGAGAGATGCGGACGTTAGAAGTCCAAAGCTGATGCAAACGTGAAAAATTTTTATCAGCTTTGGACGAGTTGAGTAGCAGGCACGAGCTGTTGCGCTACTCGTCATCCAGCCTTTGAACAATGATTTCTTTCAACATAGTACAGAATAGACCTCCACTGTATTAATCGCAAAATCAAAAGAACTTACTAAACTCATCAAACTCAGCCTCCTTAAGTGGAAACCCAATACAAAGAACTACATCATCATTATAGGCACAATATGGACACTTCTACATTGATATCAACCTTAAGAGGACTCGTCGCCGTCGAGTTCACAATCCAACAAGGAGCTAACTCAGGAGCTCTTTTGTGTCTGCCAAACGAACACGCAGATCTACTTACCAAGATTGAAGGAAAATATTTAAGGTGGCTTGATATAAGTTGCAACAGACTACTTTCTAAGCGTGACCACCTACGGTGGCGATGAGAGTTCGTAGACTTCGTTGTGCTTCTGAGTCTGTCCACTTTGAGGAGCGTCTGCGTGGCTGTTCGAGTTCGTGAGATCTCACTTCTAAATGTGCAAAGAGCTAATAGTGTCTGCGGCAGCGGAAGATGAGTAAGCGTTTCATCGGTTTCATCTCTGTGATAAAAAGCCTTCTATTTGGGAGTAGCTGCTCCTATATATTCGTTTCATCCGAGACAAGAAAGTAGAGACAAGTGATCGGTTTAGTAGACACGTAAGGTGGAAGTTGCACTTGAATCTGTTGTCACCGTCTAAAGTCTAACCAACTACGCAGTTTCAGGCCCCCACCACTTACTGCAGACCATCCCAATTTCCCTTTCCTAATCCCAGTCATCTAAATCTTCCCTAATGTACTCCATCCCCCTCGTCTCCACTAAGAAGGAAGCCATTTCGCCGTAATTTCTACATTTCGTGTGACTGAGGAGCACATATTGGACAGGTTCAATTAGAGTTTTAGTTCTGACTCATTCTTGTCTCTCATATGTATTGAGGTCGTCTTAAAACTTTGTTCCTGAGTGATTCCATAGCATCCCGCGATTGCCTGTCCCGTCTTCGTCGCCTCTTTAATGATATTGAGACCTATGGGGCTGACAGGACTACGAAAGCGCCGGCGCTTAGTTAGGTTTTTGAGGTCGATAAGCTTTGCTCTTTCTAAATTTTCCTTTTTTTCCTAGTGTAGTAAGATTAGGTCTGCTCCACCACAGATATTGGAATTCTATATTCTCCTCGCATTTTTCAGCGTAGCCTGCTCTCTCATGGTCAGCGCTGAGATTTGTCTTAGCATCACAGGTTTACTCCTATCGTAGCGTTAACGCCTATCGTTCTGCATAGTATTTTTTGTATCATTATCAACATCGTCATTAAGCTTGTAGTCTTGGCGCCAAGCTTGACCGATACTACGAGTGATGAGAGCTGAGAGCGTCATGTCCCACACCTTACGACCTGCGACTGCCCACCTTGCTGAAATATCAGGGACAACGACGGACAGCGTATCTACTCTTCATTTCGATCGAGTTGAGGGCAAGTAGAAAAGTGATGATTTGCCTTTCTTTATTGTGTAGTACTGATACCATCTATCATCTTCACTTTAATTTCTTTGATGAACCTTGATCCATCTTCGTCGATCGTCTTGACAACGAAAACAAGATCCGTGATCTTACTCTGTCTCTGATGAGCAGGAAAATAGGTAGATCTGTTGACGAACGCGGTGCTTCAGATGTTGTGTTGAACAGATGCATTTTGTACAACTTGGTCTGATGACTGAGACTGACTTCTGACCAACTAGATTAACTTGCATGGACATAGACCAAAACGCGCATTGTTAGCGGATGAGCACAACTGCACTTGTATTTGTTCATGATGTCAAACCCTAATACATCTTGCATCGATCTCGCTTCAGAGCTTATGCATCATATCAGGATTCTGTAGGCTAGCGCCTCGTTGTTCGTGTATCAATACACAAGAGAGCATCCTAGAGTCCTCGGAAGAGAATCATGATGAACATGAAATCAGAGATCGCAATATCGAGATCCAAGCAAGATCACTAACGAAAGAATTTCCTCAAATTAACAAGTACAAAGGCCCTAGCACCGCTGAAGAAGATCATAAGAACGGCGCCGACCCTATACCTGCTAAGAAAGACCATCTCCACTTCAAGGAAGACCCTATCACGAAGTAGATGCAAGTAGTTCCACAACGGAACTCGCAGGGAGCTGATGCTGAAGACGCGCATACTGCGGGCGTTTGCCTTGCCAGTTGTCCCCAGGGGGTCGGAGACTGACCGGGTCGCCCACAGTAAGGACCAGGGCCGCGCCCGGCGCGTGGTGGAGTAAAAAGCTGAGGCCCTGCGTCGGAGCCACGAAAGCAGACCACGCCTGGGCGGGCGACCTACTAGAGAAGGCAAAACGTAACAAAAGCCGCCCAGCGCCGCGACCGAGAGAAGAGAGACGCCCCAGATGCGTGGGGATCTAGTGCGGCACCCTCGGGGAAGGTGGGCGAGGATAGCCCTAGCAGCAGGAGGGAGATAACAGAGCAACAACGAGAGAAGCAGAGGAGCGCCGCGCGCAAGCTTTAGGGGGCTGCTGACGGCTGACCTCAAAGCAAGACGGGCACAACTATAACAGGCAAAAGCTTGAAGCCTCCGGCCGCAAGTCGCAAACCTAGCCACGAGCCTCCTCGCCATTCTATACCAGGACCAACTCAACAGGGACAGTCGGGAGACCACTGACAAGACAACCCAGCAGCGCGCTAGAATAGCGGGTAGAAGTCATCAGGGAGGTCCTCTCTAGGCAGATTGCCGAATCGGTTCTGATTCGCGTCATCTGATGCAAGTAGGTCCCAAAAAGAAGAGGATGACCCCATCAATACAAGGAGCAAATGATCAACAGAGGCTCCAGCCCTCTTTCTTCTGAAGCTGGGGAAATTAGTATGAATAGGTCTATCGTTCTTTCTATAACGTTAAAGTTCTTGTTCTATGATGACCACTTACGTCCATGACCTTTCGCTTGACGTTTAGGCGCCATATTTATTCTAAATATGTACGCTCTAGTTCTTAATATTTATTCATTGTTCATCAAAAAACCCAGAACCCAGAGCTACTCCGCATTTCTTTAACTACTCCTATCGAGGAATATAAACGAAGAACTTCGAACTCGAACGCAGAGACTTTTTTAGAAGCGAGGCTACTTGATTATTTGGAAAGGCTTGAGTCTAATTGTTCAACATCTAGTTGAAGTTGTATTCTACGCGTAAACGAATACCCTTCGCGTTCGTAGCCTCCTTGCCCTTGTGGACGCATTTTTGTTTCTAGCACTCTGTGGATGTGGTCCTCACTATTTCCTTAAATACTTCATTTTCAATTTTGTGTAACTGTACATCGGCGTTATAATTTTTATCTTCGTTGTGGCAAGCCAAAGCCATCACCTTCAACCGTCTAGTCGAAGCGATTTATCACCTGGAGATGCTGGCGTCTTTCACGACGCGCAATTTTATTTACAATCGCGAAGAGGTGGCGGCTCCTTCTCCTGCGAACCTCGTCCTGCGTGTGCGGTCCGAGGAAGGCAAACGAAAGTGGACTTCCTGCAAGATGAAAAACTGTGCTCGTCTGCCTGCCATTTCGTCCGCATGTCTTGTGGCCTTTTTTTGTCTCCTCGAACAGCCGGTCCTGGCGGTGGCGAGCATCCACGAGATAAAACAGGTAAAGCCCTCACGCACGATGGAAGAATCCGGAAGCGGAACAGAGAGCGCAGTGGATGAGGAGCACGACAAGGATGAGGAGGCATCTCAATCTCTGGACCACCAGAAGATGAATGCAGCTTCTCCGTCGAGTTCTTTTTTGGCTCCTGTTCTTCCGAATGTAGTTGCCCAGGATCACCCCGGCAAAGTCACCCTTGTGGGCTATCATGGATCGCCGGTCGCGAAGAAGCTCGCAAGGGAAAAACCGAAGCTGCGCGCATCACGCGGTTTGAGAGCCCGATATGGAGGGGGTCTGTATCTCACGAACTCATGGACGATGGCGAACTACTTCGCGGAAGAGGAGCCGAAATTGTTGGCGGATTTAGATGATGCTGTTGCTGATGTGTCTGAAGCAGGAGTTCTTAAGGTGACATTCTCGGTGGATCCAAGTAAACTTGCGTGTTGGCCCAGGAAGAAACTTTCGGACGACAAGGTCGCAATCATTCCGTATGACGAGGCGCAGCAGTACGTCATTGACGTGGACACTATCGATCACTACGAGCTACTTGAGCGCGGTGAAGATGAAGAGAGTGAGAGCTTGGATCAAGTAGAAGACACGATGAACCTCACAGCAAGAAATCTGCAGCAGCTTCGCGGTAAGATAGGGCAAGATGGTACAACATTTGCCGAGGAAGATGGACGGATTGTATGTGTGAAGAAGACAAACAAGAGGAAGAGGGGGATAAATGCATCATCTTCATCGCGATCGCTTTGGCAACACTTTATAGACAAGAGACTTGTAAGGACAAATAATGATGACTATGACGCCGAATAGATCTACACTATAAATCTCGTGATGTCGGTGCAGGATATGGAAAACAACACCGATCTCCTATGGAAAAAAAAAAAATCCTCTTGACGCCGAATAGATCTACACTATAAAAACACCCGGCATGAGGGCCCAACATTCTGTTGAGAGAAAGAGAGGGCCGGAGCTCAAACTTTTTCCCTTTGGGTTGAGAAAGCATGGGCGCTGATGGTCGCGTGTTGTCGCGCATATGAATCAAATCGTTCACTTCCATGAATTCAATCGTTGCGTGCATAAGCTCCCAGGATCCTAACAGCGTCAGCAGCGTAATGACATCAATCCAAAGGTTTCCACAATCTTGAAGTACATGAGTCTAGCCGTCTACTTGTTTGCTTAAGGATGTCCATGATGTTGATCATGCCCCGAATAATGAGATGCACCAAACACAAAACAGGACCAAAATGGCCCCCCTTTTTACTTGCCAAGTATTTGCATGAATAACGAAATCAATCCGGTAATTTATAACCTTTCAAGTGTTCAAGAATAAACAAGTCAATCGGTAAACTGCGCAATAATACGTGTGAATATCCAAAGGTTCTGTACTCGAGAGATGATGAGTGGCCTTGAGATTTTGCAATACATTGGAGGGCTCCCGCTCTGTGGAGGAATTTCGATCTGTTTCTCATTACATACTGCGTCGTCGTGGGAGAGATAAAGGTAATTATCGAGAAAGGGGCCCCAAGCTCCTTTCTCGCGTCCGATACTGTATCTTACCTCCTGCAGCTACCCCTTTTTTTCTGAGTAGCCCTCAAATTTTTTGAATAATGGTTCCGTTCGAATTCTACTCATCATTCTAGATTTGGCCCTTCACTAACTTGGTTTTATGTGCCACGTTTGCTACAGTTGTTTATTTCCCACGAAGCGGAAGGCTGGCTTTAAATCCTTTACTCTTCGATTAATGCACAACTAACAACTCTAATCCATGATTGCGCCTATTCTTCTCACCAACAACTGTCGACTAAGCGATAATCT